GTTTGTACGTCGATCGACGATGAGCTTAATCCCATCAAGGCGCGCGGTATGTTGATGCCGTAGCCTAAAACCATGATTTTCGTTTTGTTATACTGCCATAATTTTGTGTCAGTCGTCATCCGTAAGAGGCGCGCAAGCGCGATGCGAGCAGTGTGAATGTAGCTTGCTCTCTAGAAGCACGTCGTTCGCTCTCTCTCGATCCACGGCAGCAAGCCGGCGAGTGTGTAAAAGTTGCAAATAAAGCACATAGTTGATACCAAATCAGTCATTAATCCAACCCAGTAGGTAAATACGACTTAATAAAAGAGAAAACACGTGCCAAGCACCCAGCTAATCAAGAGCTGCGAAAACAGCCGTTTTAGATGTAATAAAACACTACGCGATAGATATTCAGAATTCATCCGTGATTATATCGAAAGCGGGCATATGTCGTTAGTAATCGAACCCGAGCCACACTCAGGACATAGGATTGTCTATCTGCCACATCACGGCGTAATTAAGGAAGACAGCTCAAGCACGAAGCTACGCGCAGTCTTCGACGCATCGAGCAAAACCAGTTCCGGTCAATCCCTCAATGATATCCTCCGCGTAGGACCCACGATCCAAGGCAGTCTGCTAGAAATTGTTGTACGATTTCGATTTTTTAGAGTAGCGCTAACTGCAGATATACAAAAAATGTACCGTCAGGTGTTAGTACATCCCGATGATAGGGATTATCAGAGAATATTGTGGAGATTCGATCCAACCCAACCAGTGGAGGAATTTCGTCTCAATACCGTTACGTACGGCGAAGCGAGTTCAGCGTTTCTAGCGATCAATTGTATTTACAAACTAGCGAAGGAAGCGAGACAAGATTTTCCAATGGCCTCAAACGCATTGCTCCATCAGACTTACGTAGACGACATATTGGCGTGTGCGGACAGCGTCGAAGCTGCTAGGCTTCTGCAGAAGCAACTGACCACCGTGTTGTCGGCCGGAGGATTCAAGATTCATAAGTGGTGTTCCGATCGTGAGGAAGCCCTGGAGGGGTTGCCCCCACATTTGAGAGAGAGCGCATCTAAACTCGGTAGCGACGCCAACGATACGATTAAGACACTCGGCATCAAGTGGAGCCCCAAGGTCGATCAATTTCAATTCTTCGTACAAGGAGCAGAAGCTGCAAAAACGAAGCGTGAAGTTTTGTCAGCCATCAGCAGGATATTCGATCCGCTCGGTCTCATAGGCCCCATATTGACGACAGCCAAGTTAATCATGCAAGAAACATGGCGAAGTGGAGGACAATGGGATGAGTCCTTGCCAATCTTACTCGCAAAAAAATGGGAACAATTTCGTAGAGATTTGAACGACGTCCAGATGATTTCAATCCCAAGAAGAGTTATTCCAAGCAAAAATACTTCGAAAATATATTTGCACGGATTTTGTGACGCGTCGGCAGGCGCATGCGGAGCTTGCTTATATGTGCAAGCGGAAGATGAACAAGGCACATACACCTCGAGATTGCTGTGTTCGAAATCGCGAATAGCTCCAATAAAGCCGATTTCCATACCCAGATTGGAATTATGCAGCGCGGTTTTACTCGCTCGTTTAATCGACAGCGTCCGAAGGAATTTGAAGGTACACATTGACGGCATACTAGCATGGTCGGATTCTCAAGTTACATTGTGTTGGATTCGTGGAGACGTAACGAGGTGGAAACCCTTCGTAGCCAACCGCGTATCGGAGATCATCGAATTGTTATCAGCCAACCGTTGGAACTACGTGAAGGGACCGAAAATCCCGCTGACATCATTTCGCGAGGCGCTACTTTACGGCAATTAAGGGATTCTGAGGTGAGATGATCCGGACCGCGTTGGTTGCAGAAAAATTGCCCACCGCTTGAAGATACTCACGAAGACGAGTTACACGACGGAGCTTCCGAAAGGATCCGGATGGAGGAACGTAAAACCCCGCGCGTTTGCACGCTCATAAGAGAAGGAAACTCCACGATTCAAGAGTTAATTGACAAATTTTCATCACTGACTAGAACCGAGCGCGTGTTGACTTATTGCTTGCGGTACATGTCAAACCTTCGGAAGAAGGTAGGCGAACGAGATGCAGCGAAATTAACAGTGTCCGAGTTGCAAACGGCGCATCAACGCATCATAAAACATGTCCAAGAAACAGAATTCGCAGAAGAAGTCGCTGATTTGTCAAAGGGGCGCCAGTTACGATCAAGCAGCAAGATTCTATCACTGCATCCATTCTTGGACGAACAAAATATTCTGAGGGTAGGTGGAAGGTTACAACATGCATCTTGGCCTTTCCAAAGGAGACATCCTATAATTCTACCAGCCAATGCTCGATTTTCAAAACTGCTAGCCGAGAGGGAGCATATTCGGTTGCTGCATGCAGGACAACAACATTTACTCTACTCTATAAGATATTGGCCGCTACTATAAGAGAGCGCTACTGGCTGCTCAAGGGGCGCGATTTGGCGCGACGAACTTGCCGCGAGTGTATTCGCTGTACTAGAACCAGTCCGCATGAACTATCTCAATTAATGGGACCTTTACTGAGCGATCGAATTAAATCCAGCCGCGCCTTTACAGTAACCGGCGTAGATTTCGCCGGGCCTATCACTACTCTCGTCAACAAGGGACGAGGTAGGAAGATTAACAAATCTTATATAGCACTATTTGTTTGCTTCTCTACAAGAGCCATACATTTGGAGGCCACAAGCGAACTCACGTCCACGGTTTTTCTCGCAACTCTTCGACGATTCACAGGCCAAAGGGGACGTCCGTGCAAAATGTACAGCGACAACGCTACAAACTTTGTCGGCGCCAACCGCGAGCTAAGAGAAATGTACCAATTTGTTAAGGAGCAAGTCAAGGGAGACATCAGCGAGGTGCTTGCGAACGAAGGGATAGATTAGAAGTTCATCCCACCCCACTCTCCCCACATGGGTGGACTCTGGGTGGCTGGCGTAAAATCGTGCAAGCGTCATCTCAAGCAAGTGATGGGGAACATCTTGTTTACTTTCGAGGAACTCGCAACGGTGTTGATTCAGATCGAAGCCTGCCTCAACTCTAGGCCTTTAACTCCTCTATCTTCAGATTCAACGGACCTTCAACCCCTCACTCCAGCCCATTTCCTAGTGGGAGAGCCGTTGACCGTAATATCGGATATGGATGTGACTGATATCCAGCTAAACAGATTGAATCGGTGGCGTCTCGTCCAGAGAGTTATGCAAGACTTTTGGAAACGGTGGGCGGCCGAGTACATTGCTGGTTTGCAAAATCGAACTAAATGGAAGAAGAAACAGTCTAATCTGCGAGTCGGGGACTTGGTGGTCCTTCGCGACGAAAATCTTCCCCCGCTGAAATGGAAGCTCGGACGAGTCATGGAATTACACCCGGGTTGCGATAAGCTTGTCCGTGTCGCAACCATCCGAACAGAAGGCGGTATTCTTAAACGATCGATGGTTAAGCTTTGTAAGCTGCCCGTATCTATTGAGGTCGATGAACAAATAAGCGTGTCTAATTTGGTGGGCGGTATGTCGGAGAAGATCGCATAGGTAGCGTTAGCATAGGGACATAGCACAGGTGGCGTGGCACAGGCGGCCAAGCGTTGGTAGCGTTGCGTAGATGGCGAAGAATAAGACACGTGGAAGTGGAGAGTCGAGTCGATTTTCGTACAGTAAGCGAGTCAACTTGTATCACAAGCGCAAGAGTTGTAAGAAATACTATTTCAATTAAAATTGTAAGACGAGTACGAGTGTCTACCGTGCGTCGCCAAGAGACGCGACCGCGGTGGGCCCTCCGGAAACTCTGCGAGGATGCCCTGATGGCCTCGTTAGAGGCCGCCTGTTGGGTCCGGGGAGGTTTCCCCGAGATCCGGGAGACGGACCCCCTGCAAGAGGCCGAGTGGATCGGGGCAACGCTAACAGCGGCGTGTAACGCCGCGATGCCCCGGTCCAGAGCTCGGCCTCAGCGGGCCGTCTACTGGTGGACGGCAGAGATCGCCGACCTACGTCGACGAGCCGTCCACCAGCAGAGGAGACTCGCCCGCTGCAGGCGCAGAGGCGGGCAGGCGGCCGAACGAGCAAGGGAGGGCTACCTTGAGGCCAAGGTAGCCCTCAGACGGGCCATCAGCGTGGCAAAGGGCAGAGCGTGGACGGAGTTCCTCGACTCCCTTCAGGAGGATCCGTGGGGGCGCCCATACAAGATGGTGCTCAACAAGTTGAGACCATGGGCGCCCCCGCTGACGGAGCGGCTGGACGTGGGATTCGTCCGGAGGGTGGTGCGAGCCCTCTTCCCCGATATTACCGGGGAGGACGAGGGGCCCCGAGTCGGGGGAAGACTCCCCCGACTGGGACGACTCCCTGGACGTCCAGCCGGAGGAACTCCAGAGGGCCGTCAGGAAGGGCCTTAAGGGCAATACTGCCCCAGGTCCTGACGGCCTTCACAAGCGTGTCCACGCCCTGGCCATGGGCGTCCTCGCAGAGGAGTATGCACGGGTGTACAGTACGTGCTTGAGGAGAGGAGTCTTCCCCCCGCAGTGGAGGAGCGCCACGCTGGTGCTCCTCCCAAAGGAGGGGAAAGACGCCTCTCTCCCGTCGGCGTATAGGCCAATATGCCTTCTGGACGAGGTCGGTAAGTTATTCGAGCGAGTGCTCGTCAACCGCCTCGTCCAGCACCTGTCCCAAATGGGCCCCGACATCAGCGGGACCCAATATGGGTTCAGGGAGGGCCTGTCCACGATAGACGCGATTAAGCGTGTCCAGGCCCTCTCTGAAGAGGCGACGTCCCAGGGGGGGGGGTGATGTTGGCAATATCATTGGATATTTCCAATGCCTTCAACACCCTCCCCTGGGGACAAATCAGGGGGTCGCTCCGACGCCGCGGGGTTCCATCATATCTCGCCCGCGTCGTGAGCGACTACCTGAGGGACAGGTGGGTCGAATACACCGACCAAGGCGGCAAACGCCGACGGGAGAGACTGCACCGGGGAGTGCCCCAGGGTTCCGTGTTGGGACCGTTCCTATGGAATCTGGGGTACGACCCGGTGCTGCGAGTTCCCCTCCCCCTCGGCTGTCACGTCGTCTGCTACGCGGACGACACGCTCGTGACGGCCGGAGGCCGCGATTGGGGGGAGGCCCCCTGGCGAGTGGCAGCGGGAGCGATAGTCGACTCTATTCGTAGCCTGGGCCTCGAGGTGGCACTCGGCAAGACCGAGGCCGTGATGTTCCACGGCAAAAGACGTGGAGCACGCGGCGCGCCGCCCGAGGGACTCACCCTGGCTGTGGGTACGGCCCTCGTCAGGATCGGCCACGAGATGAACTCGGGTTGATCCTCGAGGACCGATGGAGCTTTGCGAGCCACCTTGCCAGAGCCGCAAGCAGGGCGGGAGTGAGAGCGGCCCAGCTTGACCGGCTCCTCCCCAACCTTGGCGGCCCGGACGGCAAGGTGCGTCGGCTGTACGCCAACACGGTTAAGTCCGTGGCGCTCTACGGGGCGCCAGTTTGGGCCCCAAAACTCGCGGCATCGCGGCGCGCGCGCGCTCAGATGGCGCGTGCGTTTCGCCCGATAGCCGCGAGAATCTGCAGGGCGTACCGGACCGTGGCGTACAACGCGGCGGCGGGGATCGCGGGTCTCCCCCCGATGGAGTACGCGGCGGAGGAACATAGTAACATGTTCCTCGAAAGCCGCGACTCCGAGGGGAGACCGATAAGATGGTCGGCGACTCACCGTGCTCGGCAGAGACTCCGGCACCGGCGACGCACAATCGCCACGTGGCGAGAGGCGCTCTTAGCCTCGGGGAACAACACCCCGGGGCTGCGCGTCGTCGGGGCAATCGGGCCCTTCCTTGACCAGTGGGTCGACAGGGGATGGGGTGGGCTGTCCTTCCGGATGACCCAGGTGATGACGGGGCATGGCTGCTTCGGACATTTCCTGGGTCGGATCGGAAGGGAGCAAGACTCCCGCTGCCACCATTGCAGCGCGGCGGACGACACCGCCCAACACACGTTGGGCGAGTGTCCGGCGTGGGCGGACGAGCGGGAGGCGCTCGTCCGCGTGATAGGGCAGGACCTCTCCCTTCT